ACCGACTCTATAGTAGTAACGACTAACTGTATAGTAGTATCTGCTGACTCTATAGTAGTATCCACTGACTATAGTAGTAACCACTAACTCTATAGCAGTATCTACTCACTTTATAGTAGTATCTGCCGACTCTATAGTAGTAACGACTAACTGTATAGTAGTATCTGCTGACTCTATAGTAGTATCCACTGACTATAGTAGTGACTGCTAACTCTATAGCAGTATCTACTCACTCTATAGTAGTATCCAATGACTATAGTAGTAACTACTAACTCTATAGCAGTATCTACTCACTCTATAGTAGTATCTACTGACTCTAGTAGCTACTGACCGTAGTAGTATCTACTGATTGTATATTAGTATCTACTAACTGTAGCAGTATTTACTGACCATAGTGGTATATACTGACTGTTTTAGTATCTTCTAACTCTATATAGTAGTATCTACCAACTTGATAGCAGTATCCATTATCACTACAGCAGTGCATACCGACTGTGGTGGTACCTGCTACCACTAAAGCAGTGCATGACTGTGGTGGTCCCTGCTATCACTGCAGCTGTGCATACCGACTGTGGTGGTACCTGCTATGACTACAGCAGTGCATACCGACTGTGGTGGTACCTGCTTTCACTACAGCAGTGCATACCTACTGTGGTGGTACCTGATATCACTGCAGCTGTGCATACTGACTGTGGTAGAACCTGCTATCACTACAGCAGTGCATACCGACTGGTGGTACCTACTATCACTACAGTCGTACATGCTGACTCTATAGCAGTATATATCGACTCTATAGAACAAACTATGAACTTGACAGTGTCGTCGTAAGGCCTAGTCCCGTGCAGAGTCCGCGGCCTCGCCTAGATTGCCCAGCCGGCTGAGGTGGCACCTTGGCAGGCTGGGGCTGGGCCGCTACCCTCGCCCTCCCCCACCATCCCCCCGCCTGCTCTACAATAATAGTAGCTAAGCACGATAATATTAGGATCTACCGACCCTATAGTAGTAAGTGCACACATTGGGGTGGGGGGGGGGAGAAGAGGACATGACACTTTGAAGAATTTACCTCAGCATTGTGTTTATTTTTTTTTTCATTTTTAACGCGATAGAAAATCCCCCCCCCCTCCCAACGAACGTGTGTGCGTTGCATGCACGGCGCACGCTCAGCAACGCAAGGGAATAAATAAATAAATAATTGTGCTAAATGGTTAATTAACCTACTTTAAAGTTGCTGGATGCAAAATTGGAATAGCGCTGGCTCACCACAGGGCGTATTGCGTGGTACCCGGGTACTTTTTTTTCAAACGTAAACCCCACGGTTTGCGAGCCAAATCCTTCGCAAGTTTCGTCCACAGACAGACAGAGAGACAGACAGATATTTTATAGGTAAGATATTCTGATTCTGATTGGTGAGTGGGTGGGAACGCAGGGGCTAAAAGGTTGACGCGTGCACAACCAATGCAGAGGGGAGGGCGGGAGGTGTGGGGGGTGGATTGGCCACTGAATGGGGACTTTACTGTGGCAGCACACCAGTTGTGAAGCGCCGCACTGGAGTACGGTGATGAATATAATCCCATCCCAATTTTTGTAAAACATTCAATGTAATGGATTTACATGATACATTCCGGTCGGATCTAAGGTTTTACGCACGTGTGCCTTAAAACTATTAATCGTAATACTGTGATAAAAAAAACAATTATTGAAATATTTCACTTGGAAACTCCTTTGCAACGGACGGTCTCGTTGGTAAGGGTGCCCAGGGTACCGATTGACACTCATTGCGTTGTCGATTGGCACGACCAAGTCACCATTGTCATGCACAGCCAACTCACAAAACCCAGCGTGAGCAGCATTTCTTGGCTTTTCCGTGACCTTTGCAAGTGATCCCGCATAACAGCGTTGAAAAGGCATTGGTTCGTCCAAATTGTTCAGTCTGAAAATTGTTAATGCGTATTAGTTTAAAAAGTTTAAAAAACCTCACATCAAGAAAGGGCATATAGCAAACTCCATATGAATAGCTTGGCAATGTGCCAAACCAGTTGGTCGTGATGTAGATCAATCATGAAGTTAGAAGCAGGTGTAAAGCATAGGCTGATGCTTGTAATACCAATTAAGAGTCATTTAAAACAACGCAAATCAACACCGTTCCAGTTCCATGAAAGAGAAAACCAAAGCTGAGCTGCAATACAAATTATACAGCAAATTCACAAAAGACACACACACACTCGATGCTGCATGCAGTCTGAGCAGACATGGTAGGCCTACGCCCACGTAACCCACAAGATGCCTGCTCTCTTTTCAGGTCTCACAGCACAAAGTGCTTGCCACAAATGAGCCACAATACTTTGCTGATCTCGTCAAGGACCATAAATCGGTCATCCTCGCAGTGACTTTTGGCTGGCCATTGAACAAACACGGTTACTGCATCACGCGCTTTCGGATGCGCCATCTGTAATGCTCTTCCTTCCATAAGAGGTTTTTTGGGTTAGATCGCCTATATATATGTGCTGTTAAACCCGTCACCACCCGACACAGTGAATTAGTAAGGTTTGTCACGCAAACAAAACATGGAAATTAGTCACTAGTTCAGCACACCGGTGTGTTGAACAGTACACCCACATTTACAATTCAAGTACGACGTTTCGCCTATGTGTTAAACTGCTCTGCCTTCTGATATTAGAAAGCCACTGGAGCTATGCACTTTAAATCCGATTAGAATGGTTGGCTATGTACGGTGCGAAAGAAGTTCAACATACGTACAACAACATACGTACAAGCTAAGCAAGACCGAGCGTGAACAGCCCCCGGGTGGGTGACCACCGCACTGCTATCGGTGGCTGCGGGGCTGTGCTGCGCTACACTCTGCAGAGGCAACGCAGCAACATCCATCGTATGATCCCGCTAGCCCTCCCTGCCTTCACCAACCCGCGCTGACCAGCATGTGGTGCAGTATGGTCAAATACATCCCCACAACCCACACAGCATGAGGCAGGGCCCTCGTCCAACAGTGGACTGACACAAGGGATATACGTGTACACATATACCAATAGATTTTTTTCAAACAAATTACATTTTGACATTGAAACAAGTGTTCCTAATGTGTGAATTAAAATAAAGAGGTACGGGGTAGGTTTCCATGGACATAAGCCTTTTTGAAATCAAATTCATGGTAATAGATACACCCTGACATGATGTAACAAGCCTCTGCTGAGCACTGCAGCCTGCTTGCTGCACAGTGCAGTGCCCATCACAACATCAGCAGCAGCACTGGTGCAATGTGAGAAACTCCAGACGCGTGGAGGACTCCATTTCATCTCGCCATGTTCAATCAATACACTGCAGGTCACCACTGACCGACTCACCCACTCAATCACCCACTTACTCACCCATTCACTCACCCACTCACTTCCACATCCATTTACTCGCTCACTCACCCACTTACTCTCTCACTCACCCACTCACTCACCCATTTACTCCCTCAATCACCCACTTTCTTACCCATTCACTCAATCACCCATTGATTCACTCACTCACTCACTCACCCACTCACCACCCACTTACCCATTTACTCACCCACTCATCCACTCACCACCCACTCACCACACTGCTGGTCACAAAACTTTCCTTCTCTACTTGTTCCTGCACACTGCTCAACTTTGGAATTCCCTCTCCCATCATCATCTATTTTCCTCAAGGTCTTACAATAATAACCTTGCTCAAGTGAAGAACTGTGTTGACTCTTATCCATTACAATGTTGATGATTGTGCTGTTTGTTGCTTGCCACTTAACGATTTGGGCTTTTGGGCCTGTGCTGTGTAACAACAAAAAAACCCGAGTTCGAAACAGAAAGGATGAAAGACGCTTACAAAAAACACCCAGCAGCGTGATCGTCGATATAAAATAACATAATTTTACAATGCTCACAAAAAAGCTTTTCCGTATAGTTCACAATTGGTGTAAATTACCATTTACTTTCTGGTTTATAGAAATGCACAAAATTCCTTGAGAGTTTAGAGTCAGAGTCACTGCGAGTGTGCAGTTGAAATCAATTTGGAAGTAAACTAACAGCACCAATGAAATAAGATATCAACGGCCGAAGAAATGCCCACCACGAATCACAAATCCCCGTGGGCGTGAAATGTTACAAGTGTGCAGAGAGCTCAAGACCAGCGATGGAAAAGCCACCTCCACCACCGCGCACGCGCGACTGGACTAAAGATCGCACGGGAGCCACGAGATGGTACGGGACCCCCTCGTCTGGTCAGAAGAAGCCCCCCCTCTCCATGCCAGCAATCTCAACGTTTGGGCGAGCGGAGCTTCACTCGCCATGACCTTTCAACCGGACACACCCCCTCTATTCAAGTTCAACGCGGCGTCCAGGCAGGACTTAGCGGGCTCTCAAACTGACTCTCGAGATGAAATGCGAACACAAAAATGCGAACACAAAAATGTGGGGAAATGCGCACAAATAATATTTGTAACTAAATAGCACAGGCATTTAAAACATTCGCCGAAAGCCAAAATAGTCTCATTCCAGTTGGTGGAAATTTCACACGTCCTTTGGTGGTGATAAGTCCATCCATGGAATATATCCTTGTGCTGAACCCCCCCAAAGTGGTACGCATTTGATCAACCCTGGACCAACCACTGATAGGCCGAATTGATCCCCAATTCGGATTTGAACTTACAATGTTAAACTTTATGAATGGGAGCTTGCCACAGTGCTCGCATTAACTGCGTTTATTTTGAAAGAATGTTTTGTAACGCCTTGGCGGGGGCGTAACTCCTCGCCTGACTCCTCTCTCGCCGTCCAGGCTGTCGTGCCAATGAGTGGCCGGTGCCAAGGCATTCAGGCCCGGATATGTTGGTAAACTGCTTGGAGTTAAGCATAAAAAGGCTGAGCAGAGTCGGCGAGTGTTTTTCGGTGAGCCACGATGGCTTTGTCGTGTTGGCGAGCGGTAAACCATGAGCAGGGGCAAGAGGGGGACGTGCTGCTCCGTACCTGCAGTTGGAGAGGGCTCAGTCCCGAGGAGGCTGCGGCAGACATGGCTGACGGGATAAACTGCATGTGGAAAGGGTCACCTATGGAGGTCAAAAAAGAAAACACGTTAAACCCTGTGAACGTGAAGGCACACATCCCAACACAAAGCGCTGATATCCACACGCACACTCGAGCACTCTGCTGCGAGTGATGGTACCCTACACTGCCACTTCTCGGAGCACCAAACACGTGCACGCCTGCGCTCTTAACTACGTTTTCACCGAAATCAACACAAGCGTTTTTTATGGGGAAATGGCTTTGGACGTGGGCTGCAGGGTGCATAGGTTTTCATAGCGGGACATCTACATTAACATTTCGACCACTGTGCACACAGCGCACGCTCAATAAAGAATCAAGGAGCACAATTCACTGACAACCCTGATGCTCATACATGCACACACACACACAAAATGTACTTTTTAAAAATTTAGTTTGTGAAGCGTCCTTCCCCGCACCTTCTATTAGCACGGTTGGCTACGTACGGTGCGAAAGAAGTTCAGCATACATAGACACATACAAATAATTTGGGCTGCCTTGGTTGCAGAATCATCCGTACGATTAATTATTGTGCGCGTGTCGCTGCCAAAATGACTTTGCAATTCAATTCCTGCGCTTGCAATTTCTTGTGCGGCGGCGAGGCATCGTTTTTAAAAATATATTTGCATCTTCAAAAGCAATGCTAGCGCAGGTGGCGTACAAACTGCTACTGCTGCTTCTGCTGCTGTTAGGCAGCCGTCGTTCGCTGTTGCTGAGCGTTGTGCCCGGAGACCAGGGAGGGCCCTCCAGCCGACGCTGGCAGCTCTGACGACGGTGAGGGATAGCCACGGCTACACAGAGGCGATGCGCAGTTAGTGTTGATTGGCAGTTGTTGCTGTCGTAAAGGGAACTAGCAGGTGTACGTGTAATCAGTCACAGATTCGTTCAATTTACGGAGGTCATAAACAAATTGTCATGGTTTGTTAAAGTGTTTTTTTTTACATTCTGAAATCTATCATAGACATCTACGATGTGGGGCTTGAATAATGAAAAAAGGATTACTACATCAAAGTTCAACTTTTCATCATTATTTTTAATTTTCTCAGTCAGCGTTTTAAATGTCGATCACTCATTTATGCGACACGGCCTCATTATTTTTCTTGAAGGGCAGGATATGTATTTACCGACATGTACATCATTAATTTTTTTCTGTTAATTTAACGACAATTTGATTACTTTGCTGTTCGTCTATTGAAACAAAGGGGACATACGTAGATTTCTATCGAGTTTCTAGAATTATTTTGTTGAACCTTTTTTCAGGTTTCCTCAATATAGAGACTGTGCCCAAGAGGCCCTGCTCGCGTGATTTGAAGTGAATAATTACGTACATCAACGCCGTGGAAGAAACACTGTAGACATTGCAATCTTAAAAATATGACTTAACATTTGGTTACGAATTTTCTTTTATTAGCTATTTTTATGTCAATTCTATAACTGTATACTGTACCAAGAAGCCTAGTTATCCATTAACAATATTGAAATTATGCAATTGTAAAAATAAGTTCTAGATTAAAGGCTGCATACTATATTTCTTTATTGGCTGAGTACTAAATTTTATCATCACAGTCGCAACAAAATTGGCCACTTTCTCCCTCTGACAATTCATGGAAATTGTATTTTTTCTGTCATCACACGAGAATGTTGTCATGAATTATATAAAACCACATATCAATGGATTTTCCCAGAGATGTGAGGTTTCGCCATTGCCGTTGAATCTTCAGCAAAGCGTTGCGAGTCTCCTGCCTGTCTGGCTGCTCCTGCCCAAGGCGGTGGTGGCGTCTCGGTAAACCTCTCGTGAGCGTTGCGTTGCCATTACACGAGCACCCATCAGGGGGCTGCAGAGTCAAGAGACTTTGCTCAGAACCATCCAAAAATCACCAATTTATGAACGGAACCGATTTTGTGAACCGGGCCACAGGCAAAAAATGTCAAACGACAACTTCGACAAAATATTTGTTACATTTACCTGACTTCGAGTGCTCTTGCAATAGTTTCACCAAATTTTCCTTGCTGGGGAATACCAAGAGGTTAAAACATATTCAGTCTGTTTCTCTGCACATTTTCACAGTGCAAAAAATTGCCTTGAACTTTCTTGACAGAAAGGATGGCTATTCTGTTTTCTGAGTAAAGCAATGTTGCGTTTGCATGTTGCATATGAACTAAATCTCACTGGGTTCACAATGCCTGTGGCGCCAGGTGTCGCCGAGATCCTTGCTGAGGAGCAACCCACAAACGTACTCGCGGCTCCAGCTCCGCATTTGTTCAAATTACCGCGGTCTGGATAACAAACGTCAACTTGTTTCACGTCATCATCCGGTTTCCATTGTGTTCCGAGTTCGCGGTTGTGGAGCCCCCTGCGTTCTTGTTAAGAAGAGTTTGTCCAGCTTGAGCCTCACCCCCTGTGCTGTGCGTGATTGCCGGGCTGCCACGTCTCTGCCTCTCCCTCCGTTCACTCCTTCGGGCCCGATACCGCCAACTGGGCCTACTGGCCTGCGTGGAACCCTGGCGACCTCTCATCTGGGCGACTGACCTCACCATCAACAAAATGGGATTATTTTCCCCACCTATGTAAACAAAAAACAACCTGGAAGATTAATTTATTCTTCCAGGATTGCGGGAGACTGTAGGTACCGATTTAACGAAGCATTTTTCTAAATCAGATTTGTATTAAGGCCGTGAAAACACAGGCAATGATTTGGTGTCATGTAATGAAACAAAGATATGTTTTGCGTGTGTGTGCGAGTTGTTCCACCCTCCACCAAGGCATGCAAGTGCAGCGCTGGGCCAGAGATGGCTTAGTGCGATAACGATGCAGAAGACGACCACCATGATAATGATGGTACGAGCAATGGTTTTAATAATGAGCATTATAATGAAGGTAACGACATCTTTAGTGGTTATAATGACAGAGACAATGCATATGATGATAGATGAAGACGACAATTGAAGATAAACGGAGTTGAACTGCAGGGGCGAGAGCTTGCGTTGCCTTTTTTTAATTCCTACTCAGACAGTCGCTCGTCATTGGGGGACTGCTCGGCGATGACGACAGCGTCGATACTTGCTGCTGCTGCTGCTGTAGCTGATGATCGACCAACCCACGCTATTGCCTCGATCTTAAGGCAACCTGCCAACCCTTGCAAGCAACGGATGACAGGGTCACGTGTGTGCACCAAGGGTGTTTGCACACCACAACCAGATGCTCATTTGTCTTATTTTATTATTCTATATTTAGGGTTGAGTCGCCCTTGGGGAGGCCCAGAGCAGGTGCCGCTGATGTTTGTCACAAACAGGAATCGACTTCAGATCTCCATGTGTAGCACAGTGCACTAAGCACTACACCATCACACCATGCGAACATATATACAAACATCAAAGGAAGTGGACTGACAAAAGGTTGTACGTACGTTATTTGTATTCTCTGTTCATGATTTCATTCTTTTTTATATTAAAAGATCAAAAGCTGCTTATCCTTTTGGAAATAACACACAATTATAATAGTAATAAAAATATATAATTTAGAGGGAATTCCACAGTGGAGCAGTGCAAGGGAAGCAACAGAAAGAGGAGTGAGGTGACCTGCAGTGTGGTAGGTGAGTGAAATGGTTGAGCGAGTAGGTGAGTGATTGATTGAATGGGTGAGTGAGTGATTGATTTAGTGAATGAGTCATTGTGACCTGCAGTCTGGTGGTTGAACACGGCACGGATAGAACGAAACAGTCTGGTAGACCGAGTCCTGAATGAGTGAAGATCACGGGATCAGTAACCGTGGAAGTTCTTGTATGGAATCAGCTGAATGTGAATGTCATCATGTAGAACAACGGGTCAGATTATTTGTAATCACGGCGGTTGCGATCTCCGCAACCCACCACGGTGTGACCTTGGAGCAGCTCACAGGGAGGAGCTGCAGCCTCAAATCTAGGGTGCCCATCTCTTCGGGTTTGCCTCTGAAAGTCCCATCATCGGCATCTGTGTTCACGTTGCGGGAGTTGATTTGCGCCGAGATCTGGTATCGCTATTGCTTTGAACTTTATTGCAGTAAATTTCACAGTTCTGATAGACCCAGGCTAACGGACAAATATGTCTAGGTTTGCTCTGCAGTGGAAAAGGTGGCAACCCTGGTTCTTACCCGGTTTGTAGGAGAAGCCCGGAGACAGGAAGAGGCCCTGCTGCGCTGCTGTCATGGCTGCCAGTGCCCGCTGGTCTTGTGGGAAGATGGGGATCATGAGGGGAGACATGTGACCCTGGACCTGCTAAACACAACAAGGACAAATTATAGATTTCATTGGTAACGCAAAATGCACGCAAAAGCATCTAAACAGCACGTGCATAGCACGCTTTGCCCAATTTGACTACTGCTACATCGGCAAAAATTGCAACATATAACTTGATTTGTACCATGGGCTCGTGGTGTCAAACCATTCTAGACTCACGCACCAGCGTCAACCCTCACAATATGATCGCGGGCGGCCATGCACCCATAACATAAATATCAAGATTAACACGCCTTCTAAAAGCTCTCTAAAATGTTAATTAACAACCCATGGAAATTATGAACTCGCTTCTTACTCACTACTCTGAACAGCTGTGCAAATGGGCACTAATAAAATCCGGTGTGGAGTGAAAGGAATCAGTGCATCTGCCACAGTTCCGTGAACCACTGCCCACGGCCTTGCGGCCCACAGGTTGTGAACCACTGCTCTAGGCCTAACCACGTACAGCTATAAGTAGACTTTAACGCTGTTCTTAAAAAGATAGTCGGCTATCACGATAAGTTACCATAAGTCGTAAATATAAGATTCCTTTTTGTGGATGTTCCAGGTCCATGCTCATGTACGAGGCTCACAGGCCCCTTCCATGTTGAATATAGAAGTGCACTATTGCTGGGGGCTTAGACGACGCGTATACTTAACGCACAGGTTTTTGGAGCCAATGTGACACCAAATTGGGCGAAGTCCGACCAGGTGACACAGTGACCGATTTGAGAGATTTTGCCTTGATGATGTGTGACGTAGTTTCAAAAGCGAAATTGTACTAACCTAGCCTGCACACAACGACACAACATAATCACTCGCGTCATTGTGAGAAAATATAAGCAACAAACTAAATAAGCAGACAACAATTCTGTTGTCAGGATTGCTCTTCAACTCACGGGTGAGCTGAAATAATAACAGTTTGCACGTTAAATGCGTGTGACTTGTACAGTACGTGTGACTTGTTTAGCTGCGTCGGGCTTCGGAGGGTTTCTAATGGCACAGATTTGGACAGATCGCTATGTGGCCTAACCCCAAAAACCAATTACGAAGTATGCATATGCTGGAATATCAACGAGTTAAAGTGAAAATCAAGAGGCAACGTGGCATTTATCCTCATATCTGGTACTGCCACAGTTCACACGTCATCTTCTTCACCAATGTCGATGAAGGTGTTTAGTAAGATTGTTGTCGTCGCTGCGGTGACGTGATGAGCGCTACCCCACGTCACGGGCCCAGGAGCGAGCAGCAGCGGCGAGCAGAGATCCCCCCCCCACTCACTCTGGGTTCCACCCTCCCAGCCAGTCACCAAATGATATGTTCAAGTGAAGCGGCGATGTTCGGGGGTCATGAGATTTTTTTCACCACACGATTAGGATATTCCCATATAAGAGTAGCAGGCATTTTTATACATATATAATTTTAAAAAAATGGCTTGGCTGTTTTTTGGCTGGTGTTTAAATGAACTAATAATGATTTTGGGTAAAATTCCATATTTGCTGTTGAGATTCACTCTACATTCTAAAGGCTCAGGAACAACAAACGTAACTATTTAAGCTGACCAAGTGAAATACCCAGGTAATGTTAATTGACAGGAGAAAAATGGTGTCTAGCTATAATGTCATAGCCGCTGGAATATTATTTATGTGGACATCAACACAAAAACATCTTATTTCTGAAGGAGCAAAACCTTTTAACCCAGGGTTTTAAATCGTACCACGTAAATCACTTATGTGATAATGAACAATTTTACATTACATTTGTCCGTGATGGATACATTGTAACACAGTGTAAAGGTTCACAAGCCGACACCTTCTCCAGCGGATGACGCTTCCCCGTCTAATGGAAAAGATCCGTGCAGGTGCAGGCACGGTGTCAACACAACCATTCAGAGTACAGCTGCAGCATTGTACTAACCTAGCCTGCACACAACGACACAACATAATCACTCGCGTCATTGTGAGAAAATATAAGCAACAAACTAAATAAGCAGACAACAAGGCTCCCTTATATGGAAGGATAATTTGCTCTCCGGATCCAGTCATCATCCTTGATTGCCCGGCAAAGCTACAACCGGTCTCAACACCGCACATGAGCTCGTTTCATTGCTCCATTGGTCAGCTTAAATAGTTACGTTTGTTGTTCCTGAGCCTTTAGAATGTAGAGTGAATCTTAAGAATCCCTCAACAGCAAATATGGAATTTTACCCAAAATAATTGGTGTGCCCTTGGAAAGTGCTCTAGATACGTGTGTGTGTGTTTTGCTGTGCACGTTGCCTGGTACAAGTGCCATGGTGAAATGTGGTTGTTGTTTGCTGTGTCATGCTTATCAAATTTGAAGCCGTAGATTTTCAATAAAGGCACCTGCCCAAGAAACCTGTCACTTGATAAGTGTGCTTGTTACACTCAGTGGTACACGAGGCTCAATGTCTCACAGGCTCAACGATATGTACATCAGTGCCGCACGATCTCATCATTAACGAGTGTTCTTCTATTTCAATGCAATAGAGAATCCAGTGCTGCAAGCCTAGCGGGCAGCAATCTCAATGCTGTAACGCAATTTGGATACGTGATTAATGTATTAAGAAACACATTTTTTTTTATAACGCAGATGTGAATTGGATATAACGTGATCAAGTGAACGGAACTACGTCTCGCGAGTAGGAATAAGCGATTGTACGGCTGCCTCGGCGTAACATCACACAAGGCGACGCGATGCTGCTGGATGCTTCTAGATGCTACCCACGCCCCCCAGTCTTTGTTCGGCCTGCGTACGCATCTGATGTGCTATCGCGGACTGTGCTTTACCCTATATAGTATACTAGCTGTACTATCCGGCTTCGCCCGGGACTTGGATCCACCACGCGCGGCTGCCTTTGTCTCCCCAGTGGCGATGATCACACACCACAGCAGTTACTCGTTTGAGGCTGAGTCGACCTAGGGGAGGCCCAGGAGCGGTTGAAATAATCGTCACCGGTGGTGGCCGTGAGCGGGAATTGAACTCGGGTTGCCGGGTTCGTAGCGCAGCACGCTAACCACTACACTACCGCTCCCCCCACACACACAGATACACACACACAGACATACACACAGACACACACACAGACACGCAGACAGCGCGCTAACCACGACACTACAATGCGTTACGCTTCCACGTGCGCGGGTCACATGACAGATGTGACGTCACAGCTCACTTGCCGTGCCAAAAAATTTCATTATTGAGCTCTCCCCCCCCCCCCCCCCCAAAAAGTGTATTTTTTTAATTTTTGCATGGTGTACAGTCTGGAAAGTACCCACATGGCAAATTTAAAGTTTAATTCTAGATTTGAAGCTTTTGTGACTGCAAGGATTCATACTCTTTGGTTTTTTCGGTAAAGTCACGTAGGTAAAATAAAAGAAATGAAAAACAACTAAATTAAATCACGACGTTTCGGAGGCAACACAAGTTTCCGTCTTCAGGTGGAACAGTCACAGCAAAATAGCTGTATCAAGTGAGGAGCTCTGAGACACCCGAGATTATATACAGGTTAAGGGGGGGGGGGAGCCAGGAAGGGACGTGGGTGGGGGGGGGCTAAGTTAAGCCGCCTTTTGTTATGCTGCAGGGGGTTCGGGGGAAGCGGTGGTGCACTGCACGAGAGCGAGAACAACCCACTGGTAGAAATGGAAACGGCTGTACAATTATAAGGCAGCTAAAGTTTGACTTGGTTGATTACATCTTTACAATGGTTGCTCAATTTAAAACCATCCTCTCGGTTGAAGTTGTGTCTATGTTTGTATATCTGGATGGCTTCAAGGACAAATCTTTGGTAATAACTGGGAGGTTTGCATAGTACTTTAAAGTTTGTTGCATGTCGGGAAGTACGCTAAACATTTTGAAGAGACACATATTCACAACTTTGCCTTTTATATATGTGGAGATTATTTATTCCAACGCGATTTTCAATAACGGACGCAACTACCACGTTAAAAGAGAACAGATTGTACCACAACTTTGGGAGTAATATAGCTGCAGAAAATATCCCAATATAGGTTCACAGAGCTTGGGAAATTGTTGGAGCCGCTACTGGCTGTCTTCCTGCTTCACTGCAGTTCCCGCGCCCCTGAATAAATCTCTGAATGAAAATGGTGCGCGTTACAAATTCTGAATTGATCATTATTTAAACTCAAACGTACGTTTCAAGGAAGAAGTGGCAATTTAGCCAAAGCTTGGAAAATATTATATTGTACAGAATTAGGATGTTGTTTTTAAAGCTCCCCATGTCAACCAGGGGACTGGAGTCCTGTTATGAGATTCTCCAATGTTGTGTTGAGTTCGATCCAATTTGTATTTTGGCGGTGTCGATCGGGCACCATCAACGTGGGTGGTACAATAAACTGTATTGCTGCACCAGTGCTTGAGAGAAAATGCAGTTAACAGCTCAAGCTGATGGGTGTCAGCATATACAAGCAAGTGCTTTTTATAGTCTGTGCTTCAGAACATTTACAGTCTGCATTATAATGTTGGATGACACAGCCCCTGAATATTTTTTAAAAAGTACTTTTTTTGCTGTTACCAACCTTGTGAACCCTCACTGTCAACAAATGAAGGTGGTTTAAAGCCCTCTGATCTGAACGCAACGTCGTGGTTACAATGGGGTTATTTTCCACCTCCAAGTCTGCGTACGTTGTTTTCCAGCTTCTTCTTCTTCCGTGGCCCTGACTCAAGGTGATTGCACTCTGGATGGTCTCATAACAATAAATAGATCTTTATTTCATCAACTTTGAGAGCAACAAACACTGCCTTTCAGCAACAACAACCACCGTCTTTGTATCTCTCAACCGTGAAAAGCGCGGCGCTCCTAGCCTCTGTACCACGCGTACGAGTGCAGTTTTTCTGCACAGATGCTGTGAAGTTTGTGTTCTTTTTTTTTTGGGGGGGGGGGGGTGGGGTAAAAACTACAAATATAAAATCCCAAACGATATTTGGAAACGACCCTGGTGAGTGGTTGTGTTTTAAAACCC